AACATATGTAGGTGAATGTATATAAATTGGCACTGAGATTTAGAAAATTGCACAAGTGGCGCCACCTGAAATCTCATTTAGGGTGCCAATTTGTTGAGGACCAGCACTGCATAAAAGATTTGTCACTTTTACTCTTCCTGACTCAACCTGCATCCTCAGGATTACAGGACCACAGCACTGACCACTAAGCTACCACAGTGTCTAAAATATTTTCTGTACAAAGAGTATAATGTCCGAACAACATCAAATAGTCACTAAAACAATAAAAAAGAAAAACTATTTACTTACCTTTTAAAGAATTCTCTCAAACTTCATATCATTAAATCCTGCATGAGATTTTTGCATGTTTCTTTAGAATTAAGGTGGTTATGTAACAAGGTGGAACTTTGGGTAAACACATTCCCACAAGTTTTTTTTTCTTTTGATCYTAATCAGAACATCAATCTCTGTTCCCATTTGTTTTTGTTTGTTTTTTGTTTCTTTTACGCWACATTTAAATCCAACTTTGCATCATGTGTACCATCTCAATTGTCATTGTGTTGGAATTTAAAACTAAGAGATTATTTGATTTTATCAGATCGGTGTGATATCCAGTGTTTGTTTGTTTGTTTGTTTGTTTGTTTTCTGTGAAAGTGACAATGGGATTTTGCCAGCCATTTCAATGTGTGGTTTAAATGTTGCTATTTGAATAAGGGAAAATATATTATTATAGAATTTATGAATGTTTCCTTTAAACTTTTCCAGCTCTTTGCAAAACTAATTATCATAGTTTTTTTTTTCTACAACAAAACAGCCATGACTTAGACTTACATCTAAGCCATAAATAAAGAATCTTAAAGTGTGAGTTTATGTCTTGAAGAAGTTCAGATGAGTCATCTTCCTCAAAGAACAGAAACTGTTGATAGAATTAGCTTTGCAGGGGAAATCCCATTACACCATCACAATGAWATCTGAGCATCTTTCCTCCCACGAGTAATATTTATGGCAGGTCCTATTTAATACTTTAATATTTATGTATAAGAAAAGTGTTCAGTCACCTCTCTTTTTATGCTTTGCTTCCAGGAATACAGACGTTATGTAATCTTTTAAATTCTTGATTGTTATCCAAATTTTCTAAGTTTTTTCTTTCTTTTTTAAATTTTTTTTGTTTGCTTGTTTCTAATTTTAAGATTAAAATTATTAAAATCAAGGGATAATTAAACAATGGGACTAATGCTAGTATCTTTATGTGCTAACAGCTTGTTGCAAATACATAAATATCAAAGATAAGACAGTTTGACACAGTATTTTAGCACCAAGATGACTACCACAGCACTGAAAACATTACATAACAAAGGTTGATGCATCTCTCAGACTAGTGTCTGATTTACTTTTTTCATAAAGACATGACTTTTTATATAACTATTAATTCACAGACTAGGACTTTCTTATTTTTTTTCAGACCTGGCAATTCTCACGGTCACGGTCCGGTGCAAGAATGTGACAAAATGAGAAAAAAACGCAACTAAAATTCAGAGAAACACTTTGAAAATCCTTGAGACAGCTTCAAAGAACTGCTGATCAAGATTACTTTTAAAGAGTACAACAACATTTGTCTTCTTGGAAGCAAAGGATGAAGAAATTAGAAGTACGTTTGCACAATAACAGCCGGTTTGTCCTCTTTTTTTTCTCTTAGTTTCTCTTCTCGCCTTTTCTCCGTCACATCTCAGCAATGTCATCCTTAACTGCCGTGAACGCTCTTTCGCTCTCCGTCATTCRTCTTGCAGCCATTCCTGGGGCTGACACCATTCCCCTCCCTCGTCTCTCTTTCACCACCCGATACTCCTCTGTTGACATGTTCGTCCACGAGTAACTACAGCAACCAGAACCTCTGCTGACCCGTTTCGTCTTGCGTGACGGTACTCCTGGACTTACAGTCCGAGGGTAAAGATTAGCTGATGTTTCAAGCTGAACACTTGTGCACACAGAGCTTTTTGGGCGCACTCGTTTATTTTTGTCTCCATTCACACGAGCACGTGTACGACCAGAAAACAACAAAGACAAGCCGTTAATATTTAACAGAAATAATATTTGTAGGCTAATATACTATAAATGTTTGTGTTTGTGAAACAAGAAATTATTATATTCTAATTCTTCACATTTTTATTTTATATTAAAAATAACATTCATTACATTAACAGTTTTACAACCAAATATTAGAACCTTACATATTTGCAACAATAATTACACTTGAGAACCAAAGGACTGTACGTCCTCTTCTTTTCTTTTTTAATAAGTTAAGAAATAAAATTTTCCCCTGGAAATGATTTTCTAAAAGCTTTGTATGTTGTTGTTTTTTTGTACAATTTAGCATTGGCTATAACTGGCTTGCATTAGTCTCTGAAAACCAGGTCTTTAAGACTTGTAGATATTCATAGCGCGTTATTGAAGCATCATTCTGATCTGACAGTAGTAAACATTGAGCAGGTTATTGATATTTTCCAGTATAGTTAGCTACAGTACACAGCAGAACATTGCCCTAAAGTCAGTGTAGTATGATCAGTGTGCGGCTACTCCAGTGTTACATGATGTTAGTTTCAGACATTTGAGGGTAACGGTACAGTAATGTTTGATATCATGGCCTAAACTGCGATCTACAGTCTCCACTTGTTATCATGTGTGGAAATCCAGTTCTTTCTATCTCCAGTTTATTACCTTGGACTCCTCGTGCAGTTCAAATCCATGAACAAACTCCATGTTACTTGTTGAACATCTTAAAAGTAGCCAATCAATGGCCACATGTCTCTCGTTCTTACAGCTCCAAACAGGTTTCCATGAATCCTCATTCGAAGCTGTTTGTGGTCGGAACAAATGGCAGGAGTGAAATCCACTGTTTAGTGTGATAACGTTCCTTCAGTCTGAAGGGGCTCACAAGATTGCACTTAACAAATCCAGAGCGAGGGCTGCTGCGTAGCGTCTCTGGAGCCAGAAAGTGAACTTTCTGTGTAGGGGTCTGTTGAAAACAGCAGGTCTGGAAATCCAACCTTCAGGAAACACGTCTTTCCTTCTGCTTCCATTTTTACATCGGAGCAGTGYTTCAGACTCCAGGTTAGCCTGCTATACCATTTCCTGTTAGAGGAAGAAGAGACCAAGATGTTAATTGTCTGAATGCTTATCAAGCATTCACACTACAGAGATCATTTTTGCTTCTGTATATTTTTCAGCACACATCTCAATCATCATTTTTATTTTACTTTATTTTTTTTTATTTTATTTTTTGCAATTTATATATCAAAACATCCAGTTCCTTCGGGGCATTCCTGCTATAGATGGAGCTGTATTCAACACCTCTAAAACCCTCCATAATCATTATAAATTGTTACTGTACTTTTTGTCTTTTGTTCTGATTTTTTTCCAACTTATTTGTGCTAAATTAAACTTCCTTCAGTTTTTGTTTTGCTGATTTTAGCTTTTTTCAGCTTTTTACATTTCATTCTGACATTTTCTGCATTTTCTTTCTTAGTCTTTTAGCACATTTCTGCTATTTTAGTCTTTTCTGCTTTTTTCAGCTGTTTACTGAGATTGTAGCAACTTAGCTATTTTGAGCTTATTTCATTTTGAATTCACCTTTGTGAGATAATTTCAGCCTCTTAATGCTTAATTCAGCAAACATGCTAATTCTGTTTATGCTAATTTAAGCTATTTCAGCTACTTTAGCTTTTTTGAGGTAGTTTTAGCTTTTAGCTATAGTTTTTTTTTTAGCATTGAGCATTCACATTGCATCACTATGCATRTTTTTAGTTTTTGTCATAGATACTTGATTTACTTGCATAACTCGTGCCACGCAGGATTTATTGCCTCTGCATAGTTTCCATTATTTAATCTTCTACTTAGTTTTATTCATTCTAATAGCATCTTGTTTCCTTTTACTATTTTGTCAGCAGCTTGTTAATTATAGAACCTGTGTAATACGAGTTGCTAAACAGAAGATGTCAAAACCAGAATTACTCATCCTTGGCATGAAAGAGTTGGCAAGAAAGTGGTAACAACAATAACAGTTCTGAGCGAAGGTTTTCAAAGAAATGACAGTTTTGTCTTGGAAAGTAAGACAACATCCATCAAAATAAGGAAAYRYGTCGCGCTAAAGATTATTATTTCTTAAGAGCCAAGCTATGGTACCTTATGGCTCTCTCATCTGTTTTCTTCTGCCCAGTTCTGTCCTCTGTCTCACCTTCATGATCTTAGCTCTCATAGCAGCTTTACTCATGCGTTTGCGGTGTTTTCTCTTGCGGCGAGGAGGTCGGAGGGGCGTCTGACGAGCTGCCGCCGACCTGGGCGCTGTGGTGGAAATCGCTGAAAGACACAGGCGTGAGATCAGTCACCTCTACTCAAACTGAAAACACAGCTGGTATGTCCTGTTTATACAATCCTTGTACGCATCAAAAGTTTTTTTTAATGCATCCTGAAATCAAAATACTTTTTTTATTGTATGATTTGTAAGCAGTCAGAGACAGTGTTGGAGATGATTCCTGCAACAMAATGTAGTCCAATATTTGAAAAACTGACACAACTTGGCCTTTCTAGCATTTGCTAAAGCTAATTTGCTGCGGTGGCCATCTTGACTTGAACTGACTATAAAAGGTTAAGCAGTTGTAAATGTAGCTATCACCCAGTTTTCATGTAAAGTGCTCATGCAATCTGTTAGCCCTTGCAATATATTATGAGGATGACTATCAGCTACTACCACACCAAATGTTTGTGAAAATGACTGCGTTTTAGTCATTATGTTAGTTAGCATTGATTATTTGTATGGTTGCATTTCTTAAACTGCCCCATGAACCTGCTAGTTTAACAGGCTGGGTGCTAACATTACAAGTTAAAGAAAAAATGGAGCATTTAGAGGAGGAAGCAGGATGCTCGAAGCTGCTTTGTTCAGTCATCCATGAACAGTTAGCTGCTTCCTGTCTAAAAAACTCACTAATGTATACAAATCCACAAACAGCCTTAAGCTTTAATTTGCACCATGATCCAGCTGTCTGTTCAGGTTCACACTGATATGGTTGTATATCCTTTACTACCAATAAGGGTTCTTGCATTTCTTCAGATTCAAACATGTCTTCTGCTTCCATTTTAAATGAAAAACAGGAGGACAGTAACGAAGGGTTTGTAGGTTGTTCACTGTTGTTTGACTGGTAGCGGCGGCTTAATAAGCGTCGCTTCCTGTGGCGGTAACTCCGCCTCCAAAATAACACTGAACTTCGGCATTTAGGGATAAAAACGTAAAAACAAGTTTTTTTCAAGCTTGAAATAACGATACGTAGTATGTTTTATGTGTGTGGTTTACTAAATGACATTCATGTTATATCAGTTTTTTGAGATTTGATTTCATTTCTCCTTTAAACCAGCTTATGTCTCACATTCTCTCAGACCTTTGAGCTGTACCTGTTTTATATGTGGTCGGCTTCGGTCTCTGCCGGTGATGATGGTCATGGTGACGATGATGCGGATGAAGAAGAGATGTTTTTTCTGGTTCACTCTGTACCATCTCCAGAAGTTTCTGTCTTCTCTCCTCTTCTGTTAAAGAGCCATCCTCTCTGCTCACATTAGAGTCTCTATTCCTCCCCTGATTGGCCGGTTCTGCCCCGGCCGAGTCACCACTAATGGCCGACCCACTTTCCTCCCTCTCATTCCCCCCCTTTTGACCAACGTTTCCAGTCTCTGTCTGTGTGTCTTTAGTAACCTCTGTAAATAGTTGGCTGGTCACTGAGTCTTTTCGAGTTATAGAAGGAAAAGGGGTGGGGTTTCCTCCGACTTTGGGCGGCTGGGTCAGGCTGACGGGCGGAGAAGCGCTGTCAGACTGGGGAGCTTTGAGCCAGTGCTGGGACGTCCTCAGCTCCTGCTCCTCCTCTCCTTTGTAGTTGCCCCGCTGCGGATGCTGAGSCTGCTGGTGATACTGATGCTGCAGCCTCTGCTCGTGATCAGGGCGGTGCACCTCCTCCCCACCCGTCTCCTCGTGGCTCCTGTCGAAGCCGCTCCCGTGGCCCGCCTGCCGAACGCCTCCCATCACGACGTGCTCTGCTCTGGCTTCGGACGGCCAGCTGCTGACCGACCCGCCCGCCCCGGTCACCGTCTGAGCGTGGGTGGGCGTGTGATGCACTCTAGGCTGCGTCCAGCGCAACAACTGAGTGTAACCGCCCTGCTGCCACTGCCTCGCCTCGTGCTCCTGCGGCAGCTGGTGCTGCTGGTTGTGCTTCAGGTTGTCCTGGCGGTGCAGGTCGGCCTTGGAGGAGTGAGTTCTGGGCAAAGTGGGGCGAACAGGCCAGGTAGGGGGCGCAGGAACGTAGGAGGATGGGGGGGGCTTCTGTGAAGTAGACTGGCACACGCATGAGACATGATCTTCCACTGAGATGACGACATGTTCATACTTGGCTTTCCGATCGACGTACATGATCTTTAAAACCTGGAAAAAAGAGGTTGAAAGACAAGAAACATGATTTAAAACATGACATTACGCTGTGTTTAAAACTGAAACTTTTCTGAACATACTACACACTTAATAATGCACATTCTAAAGCTGACAGGGTGATAACAAATAATTCTGTTGAGTGTTTTCCTGTCAAGGCTTGTTTCCCCTCTAAAGTTTAAAGGAAATAAATGTTGAGATACCMGTTTTCTTAGTTTAAAAAAGCCCTGCGAGGTTATTTAAGGACAATTATTTAAGAACAAATTACAGGAGAGTTACCACATGAAGAAAACCACCAAGTCCAATTGATTGATGTGTTTTGATTTTTATAAAGAAACGACAGAACAACAACATGAATTCAAAACAGACTACAATGTACAAATTGTGTATCCATTCACTAAAACCCTCTCTCTGAGTCTTTTTCCTAATAGAATTCTGCATGAATGAGTCATGCCAACATTTCACATTTCATTTACCTCTGTACATCAGCAGAGAATACATAAAGCCTTAAATGGCAAAGTGACTTGCAAAGAAATGCTTTCTTATGGCTTTTCATACAAAGTTCTTTCCAAAAACAAGCATGAACACAGATGGTCAAACGTTACTACGCTCCTTCTTTCATTTATGTCAGAATTACAAAATCGGTTTCGCTCATCACTTATGAAAAACGGAACGATTGCTGCACAACCTGCGTCTGTCCGGTGATAAACTCAGCAACCTGCACTGCTGACTGAGTTAATTACCTATTAAAATGTYGTTATATAAGTCCGCTCCAAGATTACTTCCCAGCAGAGAGGAGTAAACATTTAGGAATGCTTCTCACTGCTTAGCAACTGCTCTTGAGAAAAGAAAACCATAGGATTCTTCCCTCAAGCAAAGAAGTAAGCAGATGTTTTTATTAGGGCTGTGAAATTGATCGAGTTAACTCATATTAATTTTAGTGCTGGGCATATATTAAAAATTTTAATTGCGATTAATCTAACTTTTTTTTTTACAAACAATCACTTTCCTATGGCTGAATGTGTAGGTTTGTATATTGCAATGCACTCCACGTCAGTGCATGCCAGGTCATGTTTATAAATGAGAAGTGGTTCTCAAACAGTTTACCTGGATAAATAAATGTTAAATAAATAAATTAAATTTAAAAAAAACTCCACCGTTTTTTTTCTTTTTGTCTTCTTATGGCTTATTTTATTTTATTTATTTATGTTTTGCTGACAACTGCGACCTTAGTATCTATCTTTCATTCCTCATGTAGTACTCATTTGGAAGGAAAATCCTTGAATTCTTGATTTAAACTCATTATTCTGCACAAAATTTAACCGACTCAAACATGTTTGGAGCATTTTTGGGCCATGTTTTATATTCAAAAAATCATGTCTAAGCATCAATTTGTTTTCTAAATAAAACATTAAAAACTAA